CGAATTGGATTTCTAGATTGGAATTGGATTGTTTAGTTTCTAGAGATGGGCTAGTTACTGTATCGGTTAACATAACATAACACTTATTTTTAAACAGCAAATTGGTTACTTGCATGGAATTATTGGAAAAAAATCGCGTAAATTTAAGCTGCAATTTATTATGTTTAAATATACAATATGCATTGTATTTTACGTTTTTAATCTCGCCCTAATTTCCTCTTGATTTTTGCTATTGTTGCAATCTTGCTATTGTTGTTAGTTATATTTTCAATATTATCGCCATTCATGTTACTAACCATTTGTTTTGCTATATTGATTTTATTTGGATAGACTCTAATATGAATAATTAAACAATATGAATAAGCATATAATATATAGGTTGTAGACTTGAAGGAACTCAGGAATAGTATTTAGACATCCCAGCAATATTTGTCATCATAATTATTCATCATAATTATATATATATATATATAATTATGAAATTATAAAATCATAATTATATATTTTTATATAATGGAACTATATATTTATTTATATAATTAATTCAACACCTAACACGGATCGTTTTTTAAAATTTAATTCTTCTGAAACATTTCTTTTTTCAAATGAATACGTTTAGTCTTGCTCCATCTGCGCAGTATTGCATGTAGCAATTTTGATGAACTGATTATTATCTGTGAGTTTTCTTGCTTCATTTTATTTTTGGCGTTATTGAAGGAGCAGTTCTCTTGGCTATGTTTCTTTAAACGGTATCAACTAACCAAAATGAAGTAATAAATTGAAAGAACCATTGGGAATTGAGGAGGATTTTTATTTATTTATTCATGATATTTACAACTGTATTAAAATTAAAATACATCTAGTAAATATGTACACAGGAATATAACCACATGAAAATGCTCGTTGAAAAACTGCTTGTTGATAGCATTCTAAGAGGTGATTTTGATTTGAAGAATGAAATGTAGTGTATTGGTCGTTGATGTAGGATTATTCTGTTGGAATGTTTAAATCATCTTATAGAAACTTTTAAACTAGGACATAGAAAATTTCAATTCAATGGTATGCATAATTCATAATTTGCAATATTATTTTTAACTATTAATTAAAAGTAATAGTTTGTTTACTAGCGTCAGAGTAAAGAGATGAGTATGCATTAATTTGAAAGTTGCACATTTACATTCACTCATTACTGGCCAGACATGAAAAAGTGGAGTTTGAACCAATAAATACCACACCCTGAAAAGATCAAGAAAATAAGAAGGTTTTTGGTTTTCAAGTGTTTGGGTAAGTAGGCACTAAGGAGGCAATTAGGATAAAACAACTCTTATTCGGAATACTAGTTAGAGAAGCAATTCATTAATCTCTTTAGTCTCATCACGTTTTCACAGGCTCCTTCGTTCAAGAAGCATCCGCTGCCTAAGTGCTGGAGAATGAGGATTGATACAAGACGAATACCGAGTACTTTGAGGGAATAAATCACGTTTTATACATTGGAACTGTGCTTGAGGGCAAAAGTTGGTTTCGGGTAGTTTGGGAAATGTGATTATACTGTAACAGTAAGTTGTTGTGGTAATGCAATGGGTAATAGCAGTGGTCTTCAAACGTTTTGGCCTCATTCAGGCCTCTAATAAATCCTGCGTGTTGAGAGCTTCTTGTAAATCTCGTGTATTCTTGTAATTTTCGCCATTGTTTGACATAAAAAAATATATCTTGTTCAAAAAATGACAATTCAGCATTAAAATGAGCTTTCTAAGAGAAACAACTTAATCAATAATTGTTGTAGTAAACATATGTTTGAGAGGTTAACTAAATTTAATATTTTTAAACATTTTATAATGCCATCGCAGAAACATTCAACACTGCCTGGTTGCATTCCGCCCGCGGTCCTGCAACCTCTGTTTTATAGGAAAGTATATTAAGGCAATGTTTTTGTTTTAAGAATTTTTGTAGGATCAAGGGACACCAAAACAGGATCCATTTCTCAAATCCCTGAGGTCAATACTATCAATGTCGTTCTGAAGCTTATGAGACCGATCTGGGTGTAGGGTGATGGAAAGGTGTATGTATATATTTAAAAGTCGTTATGATATTTTGAATCATTTAGAAAGCACTGCATAATATGTAGTTCGTGTACGTAGCGGGAAACGAGATTGATGAGGAAGGTTTTTTTGAGGATAATGGATTTTTGGGAGGGAATTAGTGATGTAGTTTAGAAATCACTTCAAAGCTAAGTCAAATCTAGGTTGGAAAATCTGTATAGTTTAGAGAGAATCTTATGATGAACAGTCGAACACTTTTGACAAATCAAAGAGAATAAGAATCCTGATTTACTGTTGGATGTGTATAGATACGTACAACTAAAAAAACCTAAAGCCACATTAATCATTAATTTCACATGTTTATTTAAAATTTTCAAAATCTACTCACTCTGATATATAACACTAGGGTCGGTTCTAGAGGTAGTTTTTTATGGAGGGCGACTACCGTGTTGATCACTGAATTGTAATAAATCGATTAGCCTTTTTCTGGTTAAAAATAATTTAATCAAGAGTACTGGAATTAGAAAGCATTTTTTTTATAGAAACAGTCTTTATTTTTTCAATGGTTATTTAGGAAGAAAATATTTCGCCCTTTCTACCTCAAGTGGATCCGCCAATTTATCCAACTAAATTCATTTTGGTTTTAATTAATGAAGAAAAATTCTAATTAGTAATTAAAATAAAAACATTTTTTATGAACATTGAATTTAATATAAATAAGAATAAATAAATTTATTTTAAATAATCTTTGAAAATAAGCTAGCAGTACTTAACTTAAATATGTTATATGATGTCCATCAGAAATCAATCCCTTGGTATTTTATTCTGTTGTTGGTATTACATTTATTTTCATTATATCATAGTCATATCTATACCTTGGGACGAAATGGGCCCAAGTCCAAGACCTAGAAATTTCAACGAACTTCAAGAAAGAAATTAGGGAAATACAGATAAATTGCTTTAATGGCAAAAGTCCTATGGGTTGGTTTCGATAGCTGTTAACTGGAGTACATGACGCAGTCCACTTCAATTCTAAAGTTTGTTCTGTACTCCGTGTGTTATAGCTAACACAATCGATATATCAGAATAATCTATTTATATAGTCTATTCGGAAAATATAAAAAAAAAATTCGACTTGTGATGGGACGGTGAGGGGAGTTAGCGGTGATCTCCTTCATCAATAGGCTGAGATTATTTCCATTATCCTCGGGCTAGCTCAATCTATCACACAAAAGACAGGGGAGATCATCGCCTAATCCAGAGGAGGAAATGATCTATAACCCACTTCCCCTCGGTCCCGAAGATGGGCTTTTCCCAACCTCTTGCCTCATTTAAAACTAACAGTCATCTTTTATCCTTATAAATAATTTTTAAAAAAATCTTTATATTTATTAATTGAATTTCACAATAAATTTATTGTAAGAGAAGTACAAACATGACAGTATAAAGATATTACTGATTGGAAGCAAACCGATTCGAGATCGATTTATGATTTATGAGATGTGGCTTTTAAATAACTAGACTGATGCTGTAAAACATTTTAATTATCATCAACAATATAATTATCATCAGCTTTAAATAATCAACCAACATTATTCATTGGTTATCATCGATTTTAATCTACTGTTTAATTAATATCTAATTAAGGTAACTAATTAACCCTCATTAATACTAATTTGTGTAATTGTATTATCATAGGGCTTCAAGACAATGAGCTTTCCTTTCCAGAGTATTTGAAATATTTTTGATTTAGTTTAATGTTAGGCTAGGAAGTTGTGTAATTTTCCCAACTCATTCCGACCGTTAGAAATTTATAATTCATTGACACGACAAACAAAATATCAAGGAAACAGAACTGATCTTCAATTTTTCGGGTGAAATTAAACGTTTTCAAAATGTGACATGAGATTTGAATTCTACGACTTGAGACCCTAGGACACCTGATTTTAAGATAGTTGGTAAATTTAAGTTTATTTTATTTACTTTCTTTAATTAACTTATTGATTACTTTTTCTCTGAAGAAATAATTATTGAATGTACACTTTTTTATTACTAAGTTTTTATCCCTCTCTACCGTAGATGGAAAAGCTTTCTATCAGTAGATCAATTTTTTTTTGTCCAGAATTGAAAATTTTCATTCCCGATTTAGGTTTTATACATCAAGGAACAGATTTGATATATTGATTGAGTGCTATATGTGTCTGTCTAGTAAAATCTAGTTTACAGACATTTTAGGAAATTATGTATCCAGCAGAAATGGCGAGGGATCTATACATACATAGAAGACGTTTTTCTATTGAGCAACACGCCCTTAAAGTATGAGCCTTTGTCGTTAGTCGTTGGTCACCCTGTACAACTGAAGAGCAATTCCTATTAATATACAGTAGTAAAACTATAAATTTGAATATGTACTCCAACAGTTAAAATATCTATTAGAGAGAGAATCACTTTATTATCATAAATAAAATAAAATGGTGCTGCCCAATTACATTGGGTTGCTAACAACACAGCATACTTATTAATCACTACAGACATTATTTAAAATTATTATACAATTATATAGGACTAACAATATGTATGAGCATAGTATACAATATTTTATACGTATATATATATATATATATATTATTATTTTTTTTTATTTTTTTTCTCCTTTTTTTTATAATTTTTTACTATTTCTTTCATTCATTTATTATCATTCTGTACCCTTTCTCTTCCTTCTCTCCCCCTATACATGTTTCCTCTCCTCACATTCTCTCCTCTCTCTTTCTAACCTAATACATAAAAAATACATAAAGTACAGTGGACGTGTTCAATAAATAATAATATAAAAATGCTGTAACACACGCATGCCTCCCCCCCGCGAGCAAACTTTCCCCCTATCCGCTCCCATGCACATGGTGGTGGATGATTCCCAGGGAGTCGAGGATTATACTCTCTGCCAACCTTGCCACGTCCTTTATGTCGACACCAAGGCCCTCCATGAAGCTCCTTGTTGAGTCTGGTATCGTTCCGCGAGCTCCGAACCAAAGGCCTCTCACGTGGAACTCTCTCGGCCCGAAACTCTCGCGGAACTTTTCACTAAGGAGAGGGATGCATTTCTCATATGTCTGTTTTTTCTCCCTTTCCAATTTTTCTGCCTGATCGAGGTCGTTGGTCTCATATCTCACGGTCGGATCCAAAATTGCGGGATCATCGGTAATGAACAAGCTGATCAAGCAGCCAACATGGCAAGAAAGCCAGATACAACATCCGTTGAATCAATTAATGAAATCCCTCTAGAGGATTACGTTATAAAAATTAAGGAGAATGTGTGGAACATGTGGCAAAACAAGTGGGAACAAGGAGAATCGAAATTAAAAGAAATTAAACCCCACTGTTTAAAATGGGAAACTTCGCACCGACCATCTCGAAATGAGGAGACAGCCCTTTGCAGACTGCGAATTGGACATTGTGAGTTCTCCCACTCCTACCTACTAAGAGGACTTGATCCTCCGACCTGCGAGAACTGCAATGTCCAAAGGACAGTAAAGCACATTATTCAAGAATGCCCTTCGTTTGAAACTACAAGGAGAAAGTTAGACATGGTAAAGAGTCTGAAAGAAAATCTACAAGACCATGAAAGTGAAGTTAAAAAAACTTTAAAGTTCTTAAAAGTGACAAAATTCTACAACAGAGTGTAATTCAAAGGTGTTGCCAATGACCCTACAGGGTAGAGGCAACAAAAAAAAAATCAAATAAATAAATAAATAAATAACATTTTATTATATAGTGTATAGATAATTATATATGCCATACATATGGTGAGGAAACTATTCCAACCCCACATGGCAGACTTTTTTTTTATTATATAACTTATTAATATTAAATACCTGGATTGTAGTTTGCATATAAATTATACAATGTTACCTTCGCGTATTAATTTATGCAAAATGATTTTCTAGTCAAATATCTAGAAAATAATATACGATAAATATAGAGGCTACTTACTTTTCATTTTAATATTTAGAAGCTTTATTTTTTTAAATATGGAGTAGAATTAATAATTAATATTCATGAAATCAAACTGATTATTTAATTCAGTTGGGTGTTATGATTTGTTTTTCTTTTATAAATTAAACATTCATCTCTACACGTTTAAGCCTACCAATGGATTATTTATCGAATTTATGAAACGTCAAATGGAATTAATGTAAATTCCATTTTAATAAATAGATGATATTCTGCTTGGGAACCTTTGATTTATGTCCCGGTGACGGAATTTATAATCAGCCCTTAGAGATTTGTATTATGAATTGGAGGGAGGGACAGTTCACTTAGTCCTAAAATCAAATAGTCTCTCTTTCTCTCACACTCACTCTTTCTCTCTCTCTCTCTCTCTCTCTCTCTCTCTATATATATATATATATATATATATATATATATATATATATATATATATATATATATATATATATATATATATATATATATTCTAACAATCTACTGAGGTATTTTTAATTGTAGATTAGTGGTTGCCTGTTGTGAATAATTGAAGAGAAGATTGGTTGGGTGTTCAGTAAAAAAATGTAAACATAAATAAATTATAATGATATTTAGGTGGAAGGTATAGTCTAAAAAGTGTAGGTGTAATAAACTTTAAATAAAATAAAGTTTGCAGTATAAACTTAAAAGAAATATAAAATAAAAATAACGAAGTTACTTTTTTTTACTGAGCACTTCAACCACTCTTCTCTTATACTCAGGTATTTTAGTAGATATGCAAGAACAATACTTTATTACGGATTATTTCTATACTATTTCTTTTTCAAATAATAGAATTGATTTTGGTTGATTTCAAAACAAGCATATTTTGTGTATCTAATGCTCTTTTAAGTATGACTGTTAGTTTTGTTTTCGTTTGTTTTATTTTTTTCTATTTACTCATTTCTGATAATTTATTATAAATAATATCTATTTATTTAATTTTTTTTCTCTTAAGAATTGTCTGTATTGTTTAACTGCAAGCTATATTTCTTTGTTTTTATTACAGTTTTTATCTTTGTTATATATACATTATTATCTTTTATATATCTATTTTTATGTATTTCATTCTTTTATTTTATTTTATTATATTAAGGTATGAATGTGCCTTATAGCTTTAAAACTCAGCACACTTAAGTGTGGTAAAATGAATTATACCTCAATAAAAAGATTATTACCTAGGAAAGATTGTATATCTTTATATATATTATATTATATATATCTTTTAAATGTTGACGTTTATAATTTTCGTAACCTTAATATATCAGCAATGATTTTCATTTATACCATATAGACATTATAATAGTTTTTATACGTATATATCATACTTAAAATAGCAAACATTTGGAATAAACTCTAAACATAAAATACCAACTAAATGAAGACTGTCTAGTCGGCTAATAATAATTATTCTTCAGAGCCGTTTAAATATCATTATAAATAGAATAATTAACTTACGATTTACTTACTCGTTAGGTTCCAGAAGAGTAGCTATTACTTCAACAATAGGGAAACGATCAGTTTCCCTATCCCTTGAACCTTTCTTCTACTTAATGACGCAAACCTCTCCAGAACTGATTAGGGATTCTGTCGCCGGGGCTATAAATCGAATGAGGAGGGGAGGGGTAAATAATCTATGATCTGGGAGAAATATTTGCTACCCGGCTTTTCCATTTCAGTTCCATCTATCAGCTCCCTTTTAAACTGACCTTCCATTACGATCAGTACTATCGGTTAATCACTCAATCTTATCCTCCGTTGTGTCCTTTAATTCTATTCCGGATTTCGTGCACAATAGCTATCCACACTATATCCAAATGGTACTGGATGAAAAGCAATAAAACATAATTTAATTTCTATGTATGCATATCTTCCCAATCACCTTATTGGATCGTTAGGAAAATTGGCATAAACGGATATTTAAAATTGGTGTAGTAGTCAGTATTGGTTGCCATCGATATTTTTCTCCCGATATTCGATATTTTACCATCGATTGTATCTACTTCGATATTATCGATTATCGAAATATTCCCTTGGATATTTTATTATTTTAATTTAAAAATTAAAATTATCGTTTTGGGAAAGCGCTAGAAATTATATATGAATCTGATCGTTAAAAAAAAGATTATACTCAGCTTGCCTATTTAACATATAATGTAGAGTAATGTAGGAAAATATTTATAATTTGATAAAAGGGACTATCTATGGCCATCCCTAAGTAGAGTTGAATAGCGTGGGGTCCTTCTCGCTCAGTAAAATCAATTTGTACAATTTTTTTATTTGGAACCTTCTCAAACCAAGGCCTCGAATCGTCAAAGAAATCTATGTAGGATGCAAATAAATTATCATTTCGCTGAAACCAGTGCTGTGCTCGCTTGTTTTAGTTATTTTTTGTGGGTGTAGGTGTGTATGGTTTATTTTTGGTTGGGTGGGGTGTGGGGGTGGAAGGTTTTTTTGGTTTGTTGTGGGTGTTTGTTGAGGTATGGGGTGGATGGGGGTTTGTGATGTGTTGTGGGGGGTTGGTGGTTGGAGTGAGGTTGGTGTTGGTGTTTGGTTTAGTGGTGGGGGTGTTGTGTTGTGTGGTGTGTGTGGGGTGGGGTTTGGGATGTAAGTGTAGTGAGGGGAGGGATTTAGATGGAGGGGGGAGGGGAGATTGTGGAGAGGTATGGAGGGATGGGTAGGTGGTAGGTGGTAGTGTTGTGTGGTAGGGTTGGGGGGTGTGTGGTGTTTAAGTTAGTTGAAAGTTGGTTTTTGGTGTGGTGGGTTTGGATTTTGGTGTGGGGGGTGTAATTGGTGGTTATGTGTGGTTAGTTGTGGGGATTGGTGGTGGTTAGTGGGGGAAGGTTGGGGGTGGGTTTTTTGAGTGGGGGGGGGTAATGAGGGGGGGGAGGGGATTATGGGTGGAGGTGGGGGAGTGGTGGGGGATTGGTGGTTGTATGTGTGGGGGGTTTGTGGGTGTGGTTGATGGTTGAGGGTTGGGTGGGGTTGTGTGTGGGTTGTTTGGTGGTGTGTGGGTTGGTTGGTTGTGGGTGAGTGGTTGTATAGTTTGGGGTGTTTGGAGGGGTTGTTGTGGGGTTGGGTGTGGTGGTTGGTGGGGAGGTGTGGTTGTGGGTTGTTTGGGATGGTTGTGGGATTGATTGAGGTAGGTGGTGGGGTGGTTGGGATGGGGTTGTGTGGTGTTGATTGTTGTTGGTAGTGGTTGTGTTTGATTGGGGGGTTATTGGTTAGGGTGTTGGGGTAGTGATTTGGTGGTGTGTTTGTTTGGTGGGTGGATGGGGGGTTTTAGTGGGGAGTATGTGTATGTTTGGATGTTTAGTGTTTTGGTTGATTTGTTGGAGTTGTTGGTATAATTGTTTGGTTTTAGGATGGTGTTGATGAGGGATGTATTGTTGGGGTTGGGTGTGTTGGTGGGTGGGATGATTGAGTGGGTTTTGATGATTTTTGGGTGTAATGGGATAATGTTGAGTGGGTTGTGGGTATTAATATAGGGTGGGAGGTAGAGTTTTATGGGGAAGGGTGTGGGAGTGTGTAATTTTGGGTTGGATGGGTTGTAAAATTGTGGAGTTATGTTTGAGGTTGGCTTTTTGTAGGGGGATTTTTTGGGTGAGATTTATGTATGAAAGTTTGGATGTTGAATGTGGTTTGTTTGATGGAAAAATGTTGTTATATTGTTTGTGAACGGATGGAGGCATTGGATACCAGCCATAAAGGCGCAGAAATATATTTTTGAGTTGGCCGTACCACCTTTTTTAATAATTGAAAAAATGTTAATAACTGCCTATTTTTTCATAACCATCTAACCACAATAAATTATTTTAAAGAAATCGATCCTCTAATCGGTTATCTTTATCTCATTTCTTTTTAAATTTTGAAAAAAAAAATTAATTTATGAGAAAGTTTTGGTAATTTATTTGGACAGTTTATACGTTCAGAAAATACTTGTTTAAGGTATTCTGCATTTACGAAAAAAAAAAACATCCAGCTGGACCTGATAGTACTTTTTACTGGCTTAATTGAATACATTGTTTAAAAACATTTATTCTATTCTGGCAGATGTGAAACATGTAGAGAAAACAGAATAATGAATTAAGATCATGTTGAAAAAATAAAAATAAGCATCGACTTTTTCGATGATAAGTGTATTTAAAAAAGTAACTTACTACATAAGTGCCTTTACAGAAAAAGAGAAGCTTAATAATATTATTAAAATTTAACAAAAAAAAAAGAAAAAAGTTTTGAAACAGGTTATAATTTGATGAAAAGACAACAAAAAGGGACTACGGAGGTAGAAAACGTAATTAACGAGAATGAAACGTTAAATGAAAAGAGGTTATCAAGCAAACAACCGCCCGGTGGGCAAGTCTTTTATACAGCAACCCCTGCCAAAAAGGAATTTCTTTCAGCTTCTCTGTCCTCTTCAGGGTTTTTTTTTTTATTCAGTTCAGTGTACTTGGCTTACACTGGAGCGATCAAGAACAAGCACGTTTCGTGTGATATTGTGTATTTTTGAAAAATTCAGTATCTCACAAAACAAAAGGAAGCCCAGTATTCTGTAAATAAAATTTAACCTTATAAGTGTATATGTATATATATCTTATAAGTTTGGTTTGTTTGTTTGTTTGTTTTTGTTTATTGTAATATACATTTTGGCCAGATGTAATGTTAATTTTATGTACAATATTGTTATTCTCAAGGAACGTAGTCCCAGAATAAAGTTGATTCTTCTTTTCTATTCTATCAGCTCCCTTTTAAACTGACCTCCATTACGATCAGCAATATCTCTTATTCATCACTCAATCTTATGCCCTTCGTGTCCTGTAATTGTACTTCTGATTAGACGCACAACAGCTGTCTACACTATCCCCAAATGGTACTAGAAAAAAATATTTAATTTGAAAAAAACTGAAGAATTAAAATAAATTCCAATACATCCTATCAAATTATTTATAACCTTCGTCGTAAACCTATGACTTCCTGTCATACAGTATCCTTTAACAATGCCTGATTTATCTCTGTTTGAAAAAATACGTTACTTAGGAATAAACCTGGACAAACGTCCAACTCGGAATCCTCATACCAGACTGAAACGACAAGAAACCGCTCGACGTTTCCGATTACTTCAGCACTTACAAGCTAACCGCACTAATCTTCCAATTAATTACAAAAGACTCATATAAATGACTATAATAAGGAGTTACGGAGTTGATGTATGGGGCTCCACAAACCATCAAATTCCTCTCGTATCCATTTCTTACAGTCCAAAACCGTTGGTTCCTTAATGCTTTTTACTTTGTTACAAATAACATTACCATAATGGTCTTAATGTTTCAGATTTGGCCAGATACATACCCTTCCATGGTAAACTTCAGATTCGTTTCTAGGCTTATTTCCTCATCAAGTTCTGATAACTCTCCGAGGCGTCTGAAAAGAAGATGACCCCGTGATCTCCTAATGTAGATATATTATTAGGATACTACCAGTGGGTAGTTTCTCAACAAGTATTTTCATGTCATCATATCCATTTGTACAAATTTACTTGATGTATTTTTTTATACAGTTGTAATATCATTAATAAATAATTTAAAAAAAAATTAAAAACAAAACAACACAGATTTTATACAAAAACCTTCTCTATCCAACATATATATCAACCAAAGCACCTTGTTGGATTTTTAGGGAAATTGACGTCGACAAATATTTAAATTTGGTGTAGTATACAAGTCCTTCTCAACCCCGAAAGAAACTCAATAATTTTTCGGATGAATTAAAGTCCCTCAATTAGTAAATACCGAATCAACGTTTAGTTTTTTTCAGGAATATAAAAAAAATATAGTATCACATAAATGCATGCGATAGATAGCACAACGCACATCTCACACTATCAATTATAAAAATATTAACAAAATGAAAGTATTATATCAGTCTTGTTTTCTGTTTTGTTTTTCTCCATACTTTACGGACCAGGCAGATTTCTCTGGCCGCCTGAACTTGCCCTCTCCACGTCTGACTGTCATAGGCTATTGCTTTTGCAGTTTGATGGATGGTTGAGAACCAATGCATGGTTGTCCATGAAACAGGCTTCTTTACAAAGTGCTGAGAACCAGAACCGTTCATCAGTTGTAGTGGAACAATTTTTTAAATATTTTTATTTAATAGTATAGTTACTAACAAATTTAGCGAATAAATAATTTTGAACGTTAGTAATAAATTCAGACATTATTTGTAGATATTTTCTTATTTATTTATTAGTGAAATAATATAAATTCATTGTACAAAAGGAGCGAGTTATTTAGCTAAGGTTAGAACAGTAGTATTTTATTGTTTATTTTCTCTGAGATGAATACCATTCAGTTGTTTACATATAAAATTAAAATTCAACAAAGCTTTGCTGATATTTTTCGGATTTCAATTTAATTTTACAAATATTTTTACTCCAACTAAAATTATTAATATATTTAACTGATTTTTAAGTTTCACTTCCATCCTATAGTAAAACACATGGTGTAACACATTTTGTTTTCTACCAAGAAATAAACTGGCGATTCAGAGCCAATATTTTTATGATAGAGTTCCAAAATACGTGAAAGATTTAAAAATACAATTTGACCATCAAATAATTAATGGAAAATAATATTTTACT